TACTATTTAGTTACAAAAATATAAGGACCATAAATATTATTTATAATGAAAATATTATGATTATAATATCACGAATTATTGTAACCTTTCAATATGATATATTATTATATAATTAATTAGAAGTTCATAAATATGCATCAATTGATTTAATATTAAGTTATACTCATTTAATACCATGTCATGATTATAAATTTATAATCTCACATGCCATTATAACTAGGATTTTTCTAACCTATGCCCTAAAGGTATAGTTAATGTATTTTTTAGTTATTAATACATGTTGAAAAACAAAAAAGTTGATATTAGTTTTAACATTAATGTCAAATGTCTTAATTTAATTGGTTAATTGTTAAAAATAAAATAAAATTTTATTCTTTTTATGTAATTTAATGATAAAAATATATATTAATTGCTTTTTTAAGGGCACAGATTAGAAACACCCTTATAACTATAGCATTATCATATTTATAGTAAGATGATATAACAAAATGACAAAAGTATACATTTATAAGAGAAGAATTTGCTTTTTAAAACAAATGCTTTTTATGCTTTTGTCAAATACACTTTCAATTATTGTTGGATTTTCTCCAAGATCTATAATGAAATGGCTTGAACTGAAACTCATCACTGACTTAACAACTTTTTAGATCAAAGTCTACAAGTCCTCGAAAACTCAAACTCAAGTTATTAGTAGTGGTTGATCTCTACATTTATATATCACACTTATATATCACACTCATTCATAAATCAATTATCACCAACTACATGAGCCCACACATTAAAAACTCAAGTTCAAGTTATTATTAGTGGTTGATTTTCACACTTATATACCACACTCACTCGTAAGTGAACTACCACAAGCCACATGGACTCACACTTATAAGAGGTAACTGCTTTGATACCAACTGAAACGATATAAATCGAAATCTGTTACTAGATTAACAACTCTTTGAGTCAAAATTCATAAACCTTCTAAAGTTTAAACTCAAGTTATTAGCGATGGTTGGTCTCTACACTTATATACCAAATTCACTCACAAGTCCCATCAATGTGGATGAAGAAGGGGCTGCGACAAGGTGATCCGTTAGCTCCCTTTTTATTTCTTCTAGTTGCTAAAGCACTAAATGGGCTTATTCTCAAAGCAAAGGAGGAAAATCTTTACAAAGGAATTGAGGTGGGAACAAAGGGACTGGAGATCACACACCTCCAGTTTGTTGATGACTCTATCTTCTTCTATGATGCATCAGCTCTGAATATTAAGTCAATTAAGGATGTGCTTCGAACCTTCGAGTTGGTTTCATGACTCAAGGTGAACTTTTTAAAAAGTGCTATGTGTGGAATCAATGTTAACTTGGTGGATATCTGTGAATGGGCTGAAACACTTAATTGTGTGGTGGGCTTTATTCCTTTCAAATATCTTGGCATTCCTATTGGTGTTAATTGGAGAAAGTTGTCAACCTGGGCTCTAGACCTAGCAAATAGGTTGGATTGGGTGGGTTCAAATTGGGTCATCTTGGATCTTGGATTTTTCGGATTGGGTTATTTTGAGTGTCGGGTTAAAGGAGTAGCCCCATGACCCACCTGCATGGGTCCTAGATTGGGTCCCAACTTTTTAAAAAATATAATTAAAATTAAAAAATTTCTATATATTTCTTTATTTTTCTTTAACAAAGTCTAATACTAACTAACTATTTAGTTAGAAAACTTTATTAAACACCAATTTTTATCTCATGATTTAATTTTTATTCTAATCTCAAGAAAAAAAAAAGAAGAAGGAAAGATTACTTATTATATAGGTGGAACTAAAATATATGTCAACTATATAATGCCTATATAATATTTAGAATTCATAATTTCATAAAAGCATTCACCTTCATTAAAAGAAAAGACACAAAGGATTAGAGTTCAAAAAACAAATCCTATATATATATATATATATATTAATATCTAGTGTCTATTCAATATTTATAAGGGTGTTATACAAAAAATACAGTTTTATTCAATATTTAGAAGGCATTATACAAAAAATATAG